AATCCTCCAAATTAATGCAATACGTCGATCAAGATCTTCCTTAATATGATCTACATAAAATTAAATCTAATGACTTTATAAATCATTTTTCTAAGGCAAATTTTCAACGCTGACAGCATATATCTGTAAAAAAAAATAATAAATAATAGCTTAATCATAGAACATTAGATAAATCACTTATCTAGTACTGAATAATTACTGCTACTTATAAGGTAGCTAATAATATTAAAATTAAATTTTGATTTATGATTTAAAACTTCTGCAAAGCTTAAATCAACCAATCAAATTTGATTTATCTAATATAATAGTTATTTAGCACAAATTGCTAAATAATTATTATCAGATTGTTTAATCTGATTCAAATTTTTTTTCAAGTTAAGACTATCATTTTTATGACAAGTCTGAATTCAAAAAAATCTGCTAAGTCAAGAATCACGTTTTTGCTTAACCTAAGTTATCAGTAACAAGTTTGCTGAATGTCCTATGATTTACAGCTATAATACTTATTATTATCACAATATTATTTATTAAACAAAAATTTATTATATTATTATATATATTATAAATAATTATATATTGATATTATTATAACAAAGTTATTATTATCATCAAAATTCAATAAATTATCGTTATTATCATTGCTTTCTTCATTATTATTTTTATGAATTTCTTACCTTTATTATATAACTTTATTTTTTTGTATTCTTAATACATCTGAAGATTTTTACAAATATAAACTAACTTTTTAATATGACCAAAAATTAATTGTGAGTTTTATTTATAGAATTTATAAATAATATAATAAAAAATTTTAGGATGAGAAATTTTGATTTAATCATAAATTGATCACTAATCATATAAGTATTATAACTGCTTTTAAACATTTTAATTGGCTATTAAGCCTATAATGAACTATAATAAAAACAAAAAATAAAAAGTGATGATAATTAAATTTTTATAAAGTAAAGAGTGTAATTGTACTAAAGTTTCTCATATCATTTAATTTTTGATGATAAGAACTTTTCTTATATTTTTAAATATTTAGAAGAAACTATAATTTGTGTTGATCAATTTTTAGCAAATCAATGAATATTTAAATTATTTTTCAGTAGTTTCTAACTTCATCTGTAGAATTATTTTATTATAATTTCAGATACAGTAAAAATCTATAAGATGAAAATGGTAGAAATAGTGAACTATTAAAGAGAAAGGGAGTACACAGATCTTAGGCTATTTAATATGAGTCTCAGTATCAAGTTATTTCTTTACTTTCTTATATTTACAGAAAATATTTATAGTTAATTTATTTTTATTACTAATATTTTTAACTACAATATTCTCTCACTAAATTTTTGAAATAAATTTTTTCACAGAATTTTCGTTTATCTATTTCACTTCACTCACATAGACTATATAAGAGAACTTTCTTGAGATGAAATAATTTTAAACCTGTATGAAAAATTCTTAGATTAGCAATAAAGTAAAAAGGAATAAACAAATTAATATTTCTGATTCACATTTACTGTTATATTCATTTTTAAATAATGATAAATTTGATTTGATTTTTGCTTTTCTTGTACAAGACAAATAAAACATCAGTAAGTTTTGGATGGGTGTATACTAGTGTCAATTAACACCAGTGTTACTTGATACTTCAAAATATAGGAAAATAAGACTTTATTAACTAATACCAAATTAATAAATACGTATAGAAATGGCATTTTAATGTTAAACAACACATATCATATATTAGTTAATACATATAAAAATATATCTTATTAAATTAGTTAACATACATAAAAATGTGTAAAGTAATGTTTTATTATTTTGTAGCATTTACTTATATTATAGCATATTATTTTATACTAATTTAATACTATCTAATAATTTTTTTAAAACTTCTAATTATTTTTTATGATCACTTGATACTAAAAAATTATACACATTGAATGATTATGCGAGATTTATTATTGTCTAATCTTTGTTTCTTTCAATATTATCATCAGAGTTATTGTAATCTGTACTAACATTTAAATCTTTATTATTATGTTATTCTTTCTCCTATAAATTAATATTATTTAATAATTAGTAAAGCATTAATTTAGAAAATGATCAAAAACGAAAAGAATAAATTACCTTGTTATCTGATGTGAATTTAATATATCATATATCAACAGTATCAGAATCTATTTTTGGAGATAGATAATTTTTATCAAAAATAATTTTCAATATCGTCTACATCCATATTGCATTTTTACGTGTTTATTCTTCTTCAAAGACAAATACATTTTTAACAATTAATGTTAAAAAAGTATCAAAGCTTGGGTTATTCAGATTAGCTATCAAATATAAATCAGCATAGGCTTTTTTAATACTATCCTTATTTTTTAGCTTCTCATTTGTTCTTATGTGAAACTTTCGTCAAAGGTTTGAGTTTATTAATTCTAAACGTAGCCTAAAGACTTTTCTTTACATATTAAATATAATATCCTTTTTTGATTTAATTTGCTACAAGAATTTATAAAGCAAGTGACATATTAACTAATATACATTATATATAAATTAAACAAAAGTAAAAATACTTGCCTTCAAAAATAATGTCTCATCCTAGATCCTATTATAAGTAGATTCTATCTTCTTAAGTTCTATCAGATGAAAATTGTAATCTTTATCATTTTCTAACATTACTCTAAGTTATTTTTTTATCTTATTATCTGATAATATTTCATGATTGTGAAATAGATTGTAAGCGAATTTTTTAATGACATCCTATAAACAATATATGATTTATATTATATTTCAGATAAAAATAAATAATAAACAAATAAAATAAAAATAAAAGGAAACATACACTGTAAAAACTATCTTACCCTTTACTTTTTCCTTTACCCTAATATTGTCTAAAGATTTTTGCTCTTTTATGCTTTTGATTGCAACGAAGATATTTTTTAGCTTCTCATTTACTTTTTTCTCAAATTTATTTTGATTTTGTATAAGCTCTCTTATAATGGAGGTGTTAGCTTATTCAACTTCATAAATTTTGGATAATAAGTGTGAATCAGCAGCAACTATTTTTTTTCATTAGTCATATACCAAGAATTAATAAAATTAGACAACAAATATAAAAATATGAACTGAGATACTCATCATCCATCATCGAATCAGTTGATTGATTTAAATAAGTATAATAAAATAAATCAATTAATCATTTGTTAAATAAATAAATTGAAAAAACTATATGATAAATTATTATTAACTTTTAAAGTAATTTGTCTTAGAGCAGTTGATTCTTTTCAAATAATACTTCATGCTGGTTCTCTTAGAATAATACTTTATTGCATAATACCAATTGAAATTGATGAAGTCAATAATTATATTTCATTATCATCATCACATTCAATTACAACTTTTGGAAGTAGTGAACTATCTAAACAATCTAAGTGAGCTCTTTTTATAGGAAACGTGAATTCTAATTTACTAGGTTCTTCTGAAGTGAGTGATTTAGCTAATTTAATAAGATATATAATGAAAAGTTTAGTAAGTTAATACAAAATTAATGTATAAACAAATACAAATAACTTAGATAAAATATTTTGTTCTTCAGATATTTAATAAAATAATAAACTAGGGAAACGGCAACGGCCGTTGTTAAGTCCGGAGCTCAGACATACGCATTCACGTGACAATAGTAAGCAATC